TGCACGAGCAGCTGGATACGAACAGGTGAATTTACGCAGCTCATTTACACACTTTTCCTGAAGATAGAAGAGTTTGTTGAATCTGACGTGACATGTTTGTACGAACCCTTTGTACGAACAAAAGTAAGAGAAATTTAGGATAAGAATACGAACATGTTCTTGCATGAGGCCCATTAAATCTGTTTGTATTCAGATTTATTTTTCAAATCATTAAAATGTATAAAAGTTCATATATGTCAGGTGAGAATCCCTGGGAAAAGGCAAATAGCCTCGTTACATTTTCGGGACCTACTGTATATGCATATATATTATATAATTTTTTTTCAATAAAGCTTAAAGAAGATCACACMAGACAGGAATAACACAATGTTTATAAAGTGAAATTTGCAGTGCTGAACAGAGATTTTACCTGCTTATAGAGCCAACCCTGTTTGGAAACCTCTGCTTTGAGATTCCTCCTCATGGAGTTGGAGCGCTTCCCAAACACAGCTACCTTCCTGGGAGTACGAAACATCTGCGTGTAAGCATAAAGACAAAGCTTTATTGATGATGTGTTCTTTAATGAACAGTCAGTGCATACCAAGTGTCAGAAAGGTTAGAAATTAGGCTCCACAAAGGCAAGTAGGGAATGTTCTCATTTATAGTCATCAGTGAGTTGCARACAAACCCAAACTAAACAGACCTCCATTCATTCATTTTCTTCCTCTTATCCAAGCTCAGTTTGCAAAGGTAACGTGTCCAAAAGGCAAACCCAAACTTTATTTTCAGAGGAACAACAAGGTCTTCCCAGACCAGAGAGGACTTATAATCGCTTCAGCAAGTTCTGGGTCTGACCCGGGTCTCCTTCCAGTACCTGCTTGGAAAATTAAAGGGGGCATACTGTGTCTGCAACATCCACTTTTTTAGCTGTTAAATACATTTTGGTGTGGACTTGGAGTCTCTAGGAGGCAGAAAAGTTGCAAAGATATCTTTATATTCTGTTTGGGTCAGATTTTTCCWCCTGTTGGTTTTCTTTAAGTTTTCTGAACTACTGTGTCAAAGAATTTGTGATGAAACTGCCAAATATGGTTTGATGTCATTTAATGTTGCTTAAATCACTCTTTCACAATGTGAAGCGTCTGAATACTGACATTGTCATYTTGGAATATGGCCGTGCCATMAGGGAAGAGAAAAATCCATTGAYGGAATAACCTCAGCTGACCTYCTTCTTTAGGCTGAACCTRGACCTGACCACCTGCAGAACGCCAGATCATAGACTACCACACAGACGTGTAAGGTAGGCACAAGGCATGAGCTACCTCTCTTCTGACCCTGATGCTCCCATCCCTCTGGAACAGGGTCTGGACCAAGGAGGTTCTGTAGAACAGCTGGAGTGCGCAGAAACCACGTGACTGTGTGATCGGCTGGTGAAGCTAACGGCTAATGCAAAATGATCAAGAGTCTGGATTTCCCATTACTGTACATGTTGATAACAGAGCGGAAAAAAAAGGACTGACGATGTAGAAATCATTAAAACTATTAATAATAATAATATTAACCCAATCAGTATGTCCGTCTGTTTTCTGCGGCTTGTCTGGGATCGGGTCGTGGGGGCAGCAGCCTAAGCAGAGAGACCCAGAGTTCCCTCTCCTCAGCCACTTAGGCCAGCTCGTCTGGGGGAATCCGAAGGCGTTCCCAGGCCAGCCGAGAAGCATAGTCCCTCCAGCGTGTCCTGGGTCTTCCTCTGGGCCTCCTCCCAGTGGGACATGCCCGAAACACCTCACCAGGGAGGCGTCCAGGAGGCATCCTAACCAGATGAACCACCTCAACTGGCTCCTCTCGACGTGGAGGAGCAGTGGCTCTACTCTGAGTCCCTCCCGAATGACTGAGCTTCTCACCCTATCTCTAAGGGAGAGCCCAGACACCCTGCGAAGGAAACTCATTTCAGCCGCTTGTATCCGCGATCTCGTTCTTTCAGTCACTACCCAAAGTTTGTGACCATAGATGAGGATAGGAACGAAGACCAACCGGTAAACCGAGAGCTTTGCCTCCTGGCTCAGCTCCCGCTTCACCACGACAGACTGGTACAGCACTCGCATCACTGCAGATGCAGCACCAACCCGCCTGTCGATCTCCGCCTCCTTTCTTCCCTCATTCGTGAACAAGACCCCGAGATACTTGAACTCCTCCAATTGGGGCAGGACCTCCTCCCGACCCGGAGACGGCACGCTACTAGTTTCCAGCTCAAGACCATGGTCTCGGATTTGGAGGCACTGATCCTTATTCCGGCTGCTTCACACTCGGCTGCGAAATGCTCCAGCGAGAGCTGGAGATCACAATCTAATGAAGCCAATAGGACCACATCATGTGCAATAAGCAGAGACGTGATCCTAAGGGTCACCAAAAAGGATCCCCTCAACACCTTGGCTGCGCCTAGAAATTCTGTCCATAAAAGTCATGAACAGAATCGGTGACAAAATGCAACAATGGCAGAGTCCAACCCTCACCGGAAACAAGTCCGACTTACTACCAGCAATGCGGACCAAGCTCTGGCAACAGTCATACAGGGACCTAACAGCCCGTATCAATGGGCCTGGTACCCCATACTCTCGAAGTACCCCCCCCCCCCACAGGAGTCCCCAAGGGACACGGTCGAACGCCTTCTCCAAGTCCACAAAACACATGTAGACTGGTTGGGCGAACTCCCATGCACCCTCCAGGGCCCTGCTGAGTGTGTAGAGCTGGTCCGCTGTTCCACGATCAGGACGAAAACCACACTGGTCTTCCTGAATCTGAGATTCGACTATCCGACGGACCCTCCTCTCCAGAACCCCCTAATAGACCTTACCAGGGAGGCTCAGAAGTGTGATCCCCCTATAGTTGGAACACACTCTGCAGTCCCCCTTTTTAAAAAGGGGGACCACCACCTCGGTCTGCCAATCCAGGGGAACTGCCCCCGATGTCCACGCGATATTGTAGAGTTGCATCAACCAATGCTACCCCACAATATCCAGAGTCTTAAGGAACTCCGGGCGAATCTCATCCACCACCCGCACCTTGCCACCGAGGAGCTTTTTAACCACCTCGGTGACCTCAGCACCAGAGATGGGAGAGTCCGACCCAGGGTACTCAGGCTCTGCTTCCTCATGGGAAGACGTGTCGGTAGGATTGAGAAGGTCCTCGGAATATTCTGCCCACCGACCCACAACATCCTGAGTTGAGGTCAGCAGCGCACCATCCCCACCATAGTGTTGGTGGCGAACCGTTTTCCCCCCTGAGATGCCGGATGGTGGGCTAGAATCACCTCAAAGCCGTACGGAAGTCTTTTTCCATGGCCTCTCTGAACTCCTCCCATGCCCGAGTTTTTGCCTCAGCGACCACCCGAGCCACAATCTGCTTGGACTACCATACCTGTCAGCTGCTTCTGGAGTCCCACAGGCCAAAAAGACCCGATAGGACTCCTTCTTCAGCTTGACAGCATCCCTCATCCCCGGTGTCCACCAGCGGGTTCGAGGGTTGCCGGCATGACAGGCACCAACAACCTTACGGCCACAGCTCAGGTAAGCCACCAAGCCACCTCGACAATGGAGGCATGGAGCATGGCCCACTTGGATTCAATGTCCCCCACCTCCCCCGGAACGTATTTGAAGTTCCCCCAGAGGTGTGACTTGAAGCTCCATCTGACGGGAGACTCTGACAGACGTTTCCAGCAGACCCTCACTATATGTTTGGGTCTGCCAGGTCTGACAGGCATCCTACCCCACCAACGGAGCCAACTCACCACCAGGTAGTGGTCAGTTGACAGCTCTGCCCCTCTCTTCACCCGAGTGTCCAAAACATGTGGCTGCAGATCAGATGAAACGACAACAAAGTCTATCATCGAACTGCGGTCTAGGGTGTCCAGGTGCCAAGAGCACATACAGACACCCTTATGTTTGAACATGGTGTTCGTTATGGACAAGCCATGACAAGCACAGAAGTCCAATATCAAAACACCGCTCGGGTTCAGGTGGTGGGGGGGGGGGCATTCCTCCCAACCACGCCTCTCCAGGTCTCACTGTCATTACCCACGTGAACGTTGAAGTCCCTCAGCAGAACGAGGGAGTCCCCGTTAGGAGCGCTCTCCAGCACCCCCTCCAAGGACTCCAGAAAGGGTGGGTAATCTGAACTGCTGTTATGCGCATAGGCACAAACAACAGTCAGGACCCATCCCCCCACTCGTAGGCGGAGGGAGGCTACCCTCTCGTTCACCGGGGTGAACCCCAACGTACAGGCACCGAGATGGGGGGCAATAAGTATGCCCACTCCTGCTCGGTGCCTCTCAGCATGGGCAACTCCAGAGTGGAAGGGTGTCCAAACCCTCTCGAGGAGACGGGTTCCAGAGCCCGAGCAGGGCGTCGAGGTGAGTCCAACTATATCTAGTCAGAACCTCTCAACCTCACACACCAGTTCAGGCTCCTTTCCCACCAGAGAGGTGACATTCCACGTCCCTAAAGCCAGCTTCTGTAGCCGAGGATCAGACCACCAAGGTCCCCGCCTTCGACTACCGCCCAACACACATCGCACCCAACCCCTACAGCCCCTCCCACAGATGGTGAGCCCATGGGAAGGGGGACCCACGTCTCCTCTTTGGGCTGTGCCCGACCGGGCTCCATGGGTGAAAGCCCGGCAACCAGGCGCTCGCCAACATGCCCCATCTCCAGGCCTGGCTCCAGAGTGGGGCCCGGGTGACCCGCGTCCGGGCGAGGGAACACTAAATCCATTTATTGTGTTCATCATAGGGGTCTTTGGGCTGCACTTTGTCTGATCCCTCACCTAGGACCTGTTTGTCTTGGGTGACCCTACTGGGGGCATGAAGCCCCTGACAATATAGCTCCTAGATTCTTTGGAACACTCAAACCTCTCCACCACGATAAGGTAGCAGACCAAGGACAGGTATTAACCCAATTATTATTAATATTTTACAGTTTATATAATCTATCTAATGTTTTAAATAATGTAAGAAAAGCTGTTTGTGTTATGGACTTATTAACAGAAGATAAACAGGAAAACGTCTCATTTCACAACACAAGTAAGCAGATTWGATCTTATTTAGCTCAATRTGATCTGAGMAAAACATAATAYAACAGTTTAAAATTAAAATAACTGAACTGAACAGTTATTTAATTWGCCTCATTGATAAGTGATTGTCTTACAGTTACACATCTGTTTAGTCCCAATCCCTTGAGTTACCTTCACACTGTGTGTGAAAATGAGTTTACTTTCACTATTAAACACAACTGTGAGTTCTACTGTTGTCTTTCTACAATTTGATTTCACCAACCGTTTCAGTGATCACTAGCCTGGTAAAAACCAGCCCCTTGTTCTTAGCTTTGCTTCATACAGAGGGTCTGGACTCTCGGTTATTGAGAAGYGATTGTTTCTTGGAAGCGTGGCCACTGTTGAAGTTTAAAATGATTGGATCTGATTTACTCAATCACTAACGGTTGACCGCAACATATGCAGTGCACCAGCTCGACCATGGAGGTTTGGGAG